CTTACCTAAAATATAATAAATTATTATAGTTATTATATAAATATTACTAGTATAAAATATATAAATAAGATAAGAAAGATAATAATTATTTTCCTATTATAATTTCTAATATATCTAATAATAACCCTTATTAAAAAACAGAAATAAAAGGGTATTTAATATATTATTAATATAAAAACTTTAAAGTAATAAAACTATAATTTTATATATTATATTATTATAAGATTTAGAAAAATAAAAACCTTTATTAAGGGATTAAGTAAATAATATAAGGAATTATAAAAATAAAAGTAGAATTTAAAAACCTAGCCTTAAAAGGACTTAAGGATATAAAAATAAGAATTAAACTTACTAACCTTAGAAAATATAACTATAAAGAAAAGGATAAATTTATATAAAATATATATAAGTAACTAAAGAAATACCTATAAAATAAAGAAGGTAATAATATTATAATTTAAGATAAGGAAAATATATTATTTAGATAAAAAACCCTACTAAATAAATAAAATATAAAACTAAAAGAATATTTTTAATAGAAATTATATAATAAAGAATTTATAAATAACTTTATAGAGGATAAAGAATATATTAAAGATTACTATATAGGAGTTAACTATAATAATAAAAAATATAAATTACTTTAATAAATAAGTTTAAGAAAAGTACTATACCTTTTATAATAATAAAGCTATAAAAGAGTAATAAATAAGGATAAAAAAGGCTTAAATTAATAAGTACTTTAAGAGCTATATAAGATAATAAACTAGACTGCTTAGTACTATAAGCTTAAATTAAGGGAAAATAGCTAAATATATAAATTAATAGTAAAGTAAAGAAAAACTTTATTAACTTAAGAATAGTTATAAAGCTAGGAATACTATAAAGGAGGAAATAGCTATTATATTAACTTATTTATATAAAAAGGTAATACTTTAATTATAATAATAATATAATAAATTAAGAAATTAATTACCTTAAGGTCTTTATTAAAGGAAGAAATTAAGGAATAAGTTTTAATATTATGCCTTTAGGAAAGGAAATAGATATCTTACTTAAAATAAATTAGCTTAAATAATAAAACCAATATATTAACTAAAAGACTAGTTAAGTTATATTCCCTAGTAACCCTAATAATAATAGTAAAATAATTATAATAAGTAATACGAAATCTTAATTTATAACTAAAAGGATAAATATAAACTAGTATAAAGTAAAGACTATATTACCTTTAAAAGGAATATAATATAAATATAAGATAGGCTAAAGATAAAAATTAGAAATCCTAAGTATTTTTAAATAATAAGACTTATAAAAAGATAAACCTTTAATAATAAGCCAGGATTAATTAAAAAACATCTTAAAGGAATATTAAATTTATAATAAACTATTTAAAAAAGAATTAAAAATAGAAATCTTTAAATATAATAAATAAAACTATAAGATTAACCTTATAAATAAGAAGTTACTATTTTAAAAGCTATACTTATTTAATTAAAAAAAATTATAAATTTAATAAAAATACCTTAATAAAATATTAAAGAAAGGGTATATTAGAGAATTAAGTTTATTAATAATATTAATAATATTTTTTATATTAAAGAAAAATAAAAAAAATTAACTAGTTATAAACTATTAACTACTTAATATATATATTACTAAAGACTAAATCTTACTTTTACTTATTATAAAACTTAAACATTAATTATAAGGTAAAAAGATTTTTATAGCTTTAGACCTTAAAGGAGTATAAAACCTTATTTATATTAAGGAAGGAGATAAATAGAAAATAGTATTTAAAACTAGATTTAAATTATTTAAATACTTAATAATGCCTTTTAATCTTATTAATATATTTATAATATTTTAATAAATAATTAATAATATACTTTAATAATACTTTAATATCTTTATAATATATTACCTTAATAATATCTTAATCTTTTTAAATAATAAAGAAAAATATAAAAAATATATTTATATAATCTTAAAAATACTATAAGATATTAAACTATTAGTTAAATTAGAGAAAAATTATTATTAATATAAATAAGGGATAGCTTTATAATATAATAAGGTATATTTAATCTTAATATAAAATATATAAATATAAATAGCTTTATTTATATTTCTCTTTTTAATTTATCTTTTTCCTTAAGTTATTTAAATTATTTAAAATATAATAATATTATACTGTTCCTTTTAATTATATTTAATAAAGCCCCTTATAAGTATATATTAAATAAAAGGAAATTACTTATTAAAAAAAGTATAAAAGTAAAGTTATAATACTTATAATAAATCTTTAATAATAATAGCTTTAAAATAATTCCTATTTTTATTATTATTACTTAATATAATAATAAAATCCCCTATTTATATAAATAATATATTAATATTATAACTAATTTACTTATTTAATTATATAGCCTATTTTATAACTTATTTAATCCTCTTTATAGTATTAATATTAAATATCTTTAACTTTAAGTAATATAAACTTATATAAAACTTAATATATTGTTTTTTAAACCCTATAATTACCCTACTTCTATCTTAGATATTATATTATAAGTTTTTAATCTTTTCTAATACCTCCTTAGCCTATTACTAAATATTCTTAAACTACTTATTATATAAGCTACCTAGGTTAAGAACCTTAAGAAACCCCCTATCTCTCTTACTTAACTATATCTTTTTATATAACTTCCTTTTTAAATCCTTAAGCTTTTATTTTTTATATTTAATAAAGTTTTTATTAATTAAAAGGTTTTTATAAATAAAATATATAAGTATAAAGATTTTATAATTAAAAATTAATATTTTAATATAATTAATATTATCCTTATTAAATTAGGCTTATTAGGCCTAAGTGCTTATAGGCTTCTTTAAATAGCAGGTAATATAATAAGATAGCTATAATACTATTAGTAATTATAGCTAAAAGTTAGGTTAAATAACTTATTATAAAAGTAAAATAGATAATTAAAGTATGCCTTTAAAGTAGGTTAAAGGAAGAAGGTTAAGGCTAGCTAATAGGCAGGTAAGGCTTTTTAGCTAGTATATATATAGCTAGGTTTAGGCTATAATTAAGGTAATTAATTATAATAATTTAACTTAATAAAGCTTTACTAGCTATAGGGGTAATAAATATTTAAATTATATTAAATTCTAGAGATATTTAAATATACCTTTTAAGGCTAACTTATAAATTTAAAAATAAAAAATATTAATAATAAAATAAAAAATATTAATTATAATAATTAAATATAATCTTTTATAATATATTAATTTTAATTTTAATATAGGTTTTAATAAGTATTACTTTAAATCTTTTTTTTAAAGTTATATTTATAAATAAATTTATTATATAAAAGAAAAATATAATAACTTTATTAAAAGCTTTATAAGATGGTTTGAGCTTAAAAGAAATATATTTCTAATATTATTTTTAATAAATATATTATTAAAAGTTATATTAAAAGAAAAACTATTTAAGAAAAGAGGAAGATATTAATAATTTAAAAGCCTAGTAAAATTACCTCTAAAGAGATATTAATTATATCTATAGAGGTTAAAAAAGCCCTTCCCTATGCCTAGCTTATAAGGGCTTGCAGTAAGGGCAGCCTTAACTTAAAAAGAGGAAGGAAAAAGGAGGCTATTTATAGCTTATATTAGGAAATATATAAGGTCTATAGACTAGATATAGATATAAAGTATATAATATAGTAATCTATAATAATACTAACTGTTAGTACTTCTATTATATGCTAATTTAGGTATAGGTAGAAGTACTAGCTATTACGGTTATTTTAATTAGCCCCCACCCCTGTCGTGACCTGGTGGTAGTCTTATGCCGCTCAAAGAGATAGGCCTTACTTTAGGGCTTAGATAACCTGTAGTTTCTGACTATTTCGGAATGCACTTCCGTTTGCGTTTGTGACATGTGATGCACGCCCGCGAGACCGGCTTCCTCTTGTCAATCGCAACCCTGGGATGAAAGCGAGTTGTGGAACTCATTGATTCTATCCGTTGGTCTGGGGATTAGTGTGATGATGGGTTTGATATACAGACTGGAAAAGTGATCGAAGCATCGACGAAGAGAAGTCAACGCCTCGACTGGTTGATGAGGCGATTGTCCTTGCTATCGCAGGAGCTGATACGACGGCGTCGGCGCTGGCAGCTCTCACATATCATATCCTAAGTGACCGGACTATCTTTATTTGACTTAGAAAAGAGCTAGAGTCTGCAATACCTAGCGTAAACTGACCTCTAGACCTTAAAAAGCTTAATGCCTTGCCCTTCTTAAATGCACTAATTAAGGAGGCACTTAGTCTATATCTAAATATAACTTATTACTAGGATTATATAGCTTTAGATAATGATCTTATTCTCTAGTACCTAGGTAGGCATTAATATATTATTTTAGCTGCGATAGTTATAAGTATAGTAGGGCCTATTATTTACTAGCACCTTATATAATTTAAAAACCGTAAAATCTTTTATCCTAGTTACTATTTAAATAATCTAAAGCTATTTAAATGTGACCTTACTTTTTTAAAAGGGACATGCCAGTGCCTTGGCATGAACCTCTTATACTAAGAGTTGCAGACGTTTATAGCTGGTGTTTTCCGCAAATATGGACTCTTCGACGAGACTTTAACAGAGCAAAACGGTCCGACTTTGGAGCTGTATTATGCAAATATGGATGATGTTAAAATGCACGCTGACTATGTCACACCCGGGCTACGCCCTGGTAGTCAAGGTGTCAGGATCAGAATGAGGCATACTTAGGACAAAGGAAGGGGAGAAGTGAAAGTCGGACTTTCACGCCCGGAGGAAACAGCAAATGCAGACCTCTCTTGACAAAGCTATGCGAGGGGATAAAAGATTATAACGTGCTCGCTTATTGTATATACTTTCTCTGTTTAATATGCTACATGCCGTTAATATGCTTCGAGAGCTAAATTTAATATATGGAATAGTTCTTATTGTCTGCGCTACTCTAATTTTGTCTCGAATGCCTCAGCCGCATAAGATTGCCAGTTTTCTTCGGTCTTAACCGGCGTCCAACCCAACTCGAAGACTCGAACGGCTACCGTACTAGATCTATTATACGTGAGCGTAGCGAACCAGGGTGAAAAGAGTCGTACCTACGAAGATGCATGTACACGCTCCGCCTTGACTTCGTCGCCATTGTAAAGCTTTGCAGCGATCTCGGTGAGACTAACGCCAACTGACCCTGGAGACTTGAAGTGACCAAGAGCGTGCCCAGCTTTGGCAAGTCGTCGAGCTACTTCCAGCCATGAATGGCATCCGGTGTTCGCGAAGAAATAGCCCCTCCTGCCTGCAGGTAGGGAAGGATTGATGATGGCATTGATCAACACGACTTTGAACAGGGCAGCCAAGTCAGTGACATGAACATGCCCGAGGGTGGAAGTACCCGGGGGATGTACTCCAGCTGGCTGGATTGAACGGCGTTCTGGATGAGCTCAGGTATCTGATGTGACACCCGGTGAAAAACACCAGTACCTGCTCCCTATATCAGCGGTGGCATAATGATATACGTCCTTACGCCGAACTTGTCGCCAGTCTGAACAACTGTTACGTCTGCTGTACGCTGACCATAAGGCTCAGATACCTCGCGCTCTACCTCATACTCATAAATCCCCTCTTCGTTGTCGGAAAATGTTCTAAGCTCTCCCTGTCGATCTAACACATCGCCAATAGCTAAGTTAGACGTCCCTGAAAGCTTGATTCGTAAGTTCAACCCAGGATGCGTCACCAGTTGAGACTTGAGCTTACGTGGATATAAAAGACTTCAGCATCCGAAGTCTCTTGACGTTGAGCCAACCCTTCAATGAATGCTCTGGAAGAGGACGCGTGAAACCCTGTGGCACCATTAAGAACAATGTCATGCTGTCGTGCCAGATCAATAAGGCCCGTAGTATCGTCAAGTCCTCCTGCAAGCACGACAGCTTTGATTCCTTTCTCCTTTAGGAGCTGGGCTTGCTTTCTTTTCGAACAACTGCTGTGATGGACAAGTCATAAACAGCTGCTTCCGAAGGTTCTATAAGGTTGTTGAGTATGGTGCCTCCCCTAGCTGTAAGTTAATTATCCTACGTCTTAAGATCAAGGTCATCCGATTTTGTAGCCAACATACAAATAACCAGTTGCCCCAAGGAACAGTAAGGATTGTGGAGAATTCATGACAGCGTTGAGGTTGGTACGGGCAATCTTTCAAAGAAACCTAAGCAGCGAAGGTTTATATTATCTCGCGAATTGATAGAACAAGCAGCCAGAATCAAGAATATTGGTCGGTGAAGTGGCCTGTAAATCAAGCTCTGGCGCTGGTAAATGATCGCATTGGCAAGATTTGGTTTATAATCAGGGGTTCGCTTATGAGGAGTTGTAGCTGAGTGATTCGGAATGTAGATTCCGGACGCTTAACGTGGGTCATCTCAAAACCGGCCACCTCTCAAATCCTGAAACCGGGCTGCATTGATGTATGAGCATAGGCGGTCATGCGTACAGTTTTGAGCACTTTATTCTTAATCCTTTTCCTCTTATACAACAGTTTTAGAAACTTATTCTTCTCAGGAGCGTACTGTGCCATCTCAATGCCGGAAAAATAACAACTAGCCCGGTATTATTTATACCCGGCACAATCAAGGCCTGAATTTGTTCCTAATCTACATCCGAAGGTGTTTGAGCCATTCACTGGCCACTACTTTATGCGGGTATGAGTTCTACCATCCCGCAATTTCCGCATTCAAGTCCATCCTTTACCTTACCCTCAACTGTTGTATCGGTGGTACGAATCCCTATAGCCATTTTTATAACCTTGCTCCGACACTCTCAATCTTTAAGCCCAATGGTAGATGCCTACAGGTTCATTTGCGAAGCAGAGCAATTGCACTACAGCCATACGACCCTTCGAAAATGTTAGATATACCAGTTTGCCGATGGGGCATAGTTGCGACTGGCTTTATTTCAGCTTGGTTCGTCGCAGATTTGGTTGTCCAACGTGATGACGCCAAAGTCCACCACATCATTCAAGCTATTGGATCATCTTCAGCTCAAAAGGGCCGCGATTTTGCAAAGAAGCATTGTCCTCACCAAAAGCCCACCATTTACTCTTCCTATCAAGAGGTCTACGCCGATCCGGATGTGGATTGCGTCTATATCGGAACACCTCACTCATTCCATAAACAGAATTGTCTGGATGCAATTGCTGCCGACAAGAACATCCTCTGCGAGAAGCCTTTCACAATAAATGCAAAGGAGGCTAAGGAGGTTTTCGGGGCTGCCAAAGAAAAAGGCGTCTACGTAGCTGAGGCTATGTGGCTCCGACATCGCCCGTTGGTCACGGAGCTCCGTAAGACTCTATTTAAGGAGCAGGCGATTGGAGAAATCTCTTGCTTGTCTGCACAATATGCCCTCCCTGTTGACATAGCCAGTCTACCCTCCACCTCAAGATACAGGGACTTGGCTTTGGGAGCTGGATCGCTCTTGGATGTAGGGATTTATCCACTTACTTGGGCACTCCTCTCTCTCGATGCTGCTGTCCCGGAGAACCCGGAAGAACCCAATATCGTGGCTACGCAAACCCATTCTCTCGGTATTGAGGTCACCACAAGCGCCATCTTGCATTACCCATCTACTGGACGACATGCCAATATATCAAGCACATTCACGGCGACCCCAACGACCGACTTCGTGTGCCGTATCCAAGGCTCAAAAGGCTACATCGACGTTACTGGAAAAGACGCCTCTCATCCGGTAGCGTTTACTGTCTTTCAAGAAACTGGTCCTGGCCAGTTCGACGCGAAGGAGCATGAGCATAATCATCCGAGCCAGGGCTTTACCTTTGAGGCAGATAATACAGCATTGGACATTTTGGCACATCGCAAGGAAAGTGCCATCATGCCTTGGCGGAAAACAGTCCGAGTTATGGAAATCATGGATGAAATCAGGAAGCAGGGTGGGACTCGTTATCCTCAAGATGAAAATGAACAGATATAAGAGGCTGAGCGGAACAGCGGTTTCCATGTATCGTGTTTGGCTTAATTGGGACCTTTCTTTATTACCCCTCCTGCGATCTGACCTCCGCAAGACGATATGGTATTTTGCGCCTAGCCCTTAAGATCATGCCGTCCTTATCTATAATGGTGAAGTTTTCTACGATCAAAGCACTTGCCACACTTACCAACAAGACTGTGACACGGTGACACCTTGCAAGCCGTCGCGTGGCCGCACTTTAGTATCGAAGCCCCAATTATAAGGTGAATCCATCATAGAGATACTGCCAGAAACCCCAGTTTTAGCGCTGCTGCTAAGTCTTCAGTGACAATGCCCATCCAACATGGCAAGGAGTGCCCTAAGAGAACGTGTTCAAATGGTGGTTTCTGTGAGATAAATAGATTGATATCAGATAATTGCTAATCTTTGATCAGGCGGCTATCACAGTAATCTACATGTTGCTGATTGAGGACCCAAACGCTCAAGGCAATTGGATGAGGTTGAATTCATGAGCGCCTTGCAGATACTCATGGTCATTACCGGTCCACTCAATACAAGGGACAAGGCGACCCCAGTTGAAGTTGTCCTTCAACTGTTCCGGCAGAAGAATCGTCTGATTGGAGCGATACCAGTTGGAGAAGACGATGGAGACAAGCATAACACGGGGGTCCTCTGTCTTGTTTGGCATACCAGCGTGCCAGATCCGAATGTCACGGATGATCACTGAACCTTTTGGTAGAGTAGCCCGGATGGGAGGTCGGACTTTACGTCTCTCCTCGATCAAATCATCGGTGAAATCCACCGAAACACCCAACGCTTTCGCTCTCGCAGCACGCTTCTGTGCGGCGATGTCTGGATCCGGACCATCATCTCCAGTTCCGTTGATGCTGAGGTAACCCAGCTTCGCATCGTTGTGCGTACCCAGCCAGAACTCGGTAGAACCATTCTGAGGTGAGACATCAACAAGGTTGACGTTGACGCAGTAAGCGTGGGGAGCCCGCGGGTAGTCGTAAACATCGATGTGAACAGGCTGACGGGCCTCGGCCTTGAAGGCTGTATTGGCGCTGTAGAATCGGACCTTGGGGTCCCTTCCCAGGGCAGACTCTAGAATATGGGCGGCCCAAGGGTTGGCAATCACATCTTCAAACAGGTAGCCCTTGTCCGTAGGGGGCTCTTGTTGGATGTTGTTGGATCCCGGGTTGAAGTTGACATGGGTTGTCTTGCATGCCCTGAGCTTCTTAGCGTCAGAGAGCACCCGTTCGTTCAACTTGTCCAGGTGAGCCGGATCGATGGCATTTTCTATCGCAACGAGCCCATCCTCGTTTAATGCTTCAAGAGCCTTTTGTAGATTGTGAGACTTCACAGTCTTAGAGACCAGTTCATCATCGCTCAGGCGGATGATGGTTGGGGCGTTGGGTCTCTCCTGAAGGCTCATGTTGTCTCTTTTTTTCGTGTTCAATTATCTATATGGAAGGCAAAGACTGGCTTTGTTAGGACGGCGGGGCTTGCCACCAGAAGCTTTGATGCAATGTACTCACTAGGTGTTGAATTGAGGCTTGAGTTGTGGTGTCGTATCGTATCGTATCGCATCAACCAGCGTTAGGTCGCGTCTAATCTATTAGTCTTATACGTAGGCCTCATGGCCGGTAGATGCTATCATCGTGTTGGGTCGCGGGTCAACGAATACCCAATAGGGTAAGTGGAAGCGGGCCGGAGGATCCGACCCGGGTCTGATGACAGACCAAGCGTCTCCGGAATGGAGTTTTACCGGATCGCTGATAACCCTTAAAGAGCTGATTCGTTAGAGTGACCGGTCCCCTACCGATAGCTTGGGGCCGTTCGCTCGATTAATGAATGCCCCGGAACACTGTGACATTTGCCATTTCGCTAGCTTCGCCAGTGCCAACTAGTAGTGTCTAGATCAGAGTTACCTGGGCCAAAGTACTAGTCCAGTGTAGGGCAAATGACAGCCCCTTGAATTAAGCTCCGCACTCTGGTGAGACGTTTTAATCAATGGCTTTATCAGGTCTTCGAAGCATAACTGACTCATAGAGCGTCGCATTCCCAACCTCAGACTTCCCCTTGTCCTACAGTCTTACACCGTTTTCTCATCTGTCTCCACTGGATTTCTTATTTATTTTGACGAAACTAGATCCCATTGCATCATAATAACGACATGTCTGACAGGTCAGACCTCAAGGACGGTAAGGGTCTCAAAGTCCAAGACCCTGACCCATCCAGGAGGGAGGACTTCGAGGTCGGAGAAACACGTGTGTCGGGAAGCCCATGGATGTATAAGTCCTTCAAGTTGGGCTTTTTTAAGATCCCTTGCTACGCGTCTGCCGGGTTTCAGGTCACATTTGTGGCTTTTGCAAGCTTCCTTTGTCCGGGCATGTTCAGTGCCATCAACGGCCTGGGAGGAGGCGGAATGGTCAACGCCCACGACATCAACAATGCCAACACCATCCTAAACTCCGTCTTCGCGGTGGTTGGATTCTTTGCTGGAAGCGTCGTCAACAGGATCGGCCTTCGTATGACCCTGGCTCTGGGCGGATTTGGATATCCTGTGTTTGTGGCTTCTCTGCTAGTGTACAATCACACACAGAATGTCGGCTTTCTCATGTTCGCTAGTGCCCTGCTCGGCTTCACTGCCGCTTTGTTCTGGACGGCCCAGGGAGCAGTCATGATATCATACCCTGCCGAGGAGGACAAGGGCCATGCTATATCCTTGTTCTGGGCCATCTTCAGTATGGGAGCTGTCCTCGGAGGTCTAATCCCCTTGGGTCAGAACATACACTCCAGCAGCGGGTCGGTCAACGATGGTACCTACATTGGCTTCATTGTACTGACTACCTGTGGTTTCGTCCTGGCTGAGTTCCTTTGCAACCCAAAGTTTGTCGTAAGGAAAGATGGCTCACGAGTCATTGCGATGAAGAACCCGACGTGGAAATCCGAGATTACCGGTCTCTGGCAGACACTGAAGACTGATTGGTATACTGTCTTGCTTTTCCCCATGTTCTTAGTCTCGAACTGGTTCTACACCTACCACTTTCAAGGCGTCAATCTCCCAATGTTCAACATTCGCACTCGCGCACTCAACAACGTCTTGTACTTTTCGGCACAGATCATCGGCGCCTGGATCTTTGGATTTCTTTTGGACATAAAGATGTTCCGCCGTCCTACACGTGCGAGAGTTGTGGGCAACCTCCTCTTCGTGCTCACAATGGGCATCTGGGCTGGGGGATACGAGTTCCAAAAGACCTATACGCGAGAGAAGATGGAAGAATACCCGGAGCTGAAGCTTGATTGGAGCGACTCCGGCTATATCGGTCCCATGTTCTTGTACATTTTCTATGGGATGTACGACTCCGCTTGTCAGGGGTACTGCTACTGGTAAGTCACATTGGTCCATTGTTCGAGCAGGCTACCTCGCTTCAGCGGTTTTTGACGTGGTGCTAACGGTGTATAGGATGATGGGCGCCATGACGAACAACAGCCGCAAGCTTGCCAACTTTACTGGATTTTATAAGGGCATGCAGCCAACAGGTGCAGCTATTGCACCGCAACTGGATGTGAAGAGGGTGTCCTACATGGGCCAGCTATATACGTGCTGGGGGCTTTTGGCCTTCTCTCTGATCCTGGCATCACCCGTCATCTGGATCAAGGTCACGGAGCACTCTGATCTCGAGAAGGATCTTAGGTTCTCAGATGAGACTATGGAGGAGGTTGTCGCGGAGCCTCTGGAAGCCGTGAACCATTGATCATACCAATCTCTGGAGAGCCCAAAGGTGGCCAGCATGAATCTGGGCGAACTATTGGTATGCATGGCAGTGAGAATCTGGTTAAGGGCTGTTTTCAGTTTAGCCGATGCAACTCTGACTTTTGTTTAATTTTTGATGTGGTGGATTTTGTCATCTGTAGAGAAGCAAATAGCTCTTGTAGTTATTAGAAGGAAGCAAAAAACCTTTCGGGGTATATTACATGTATTCTCTCCTAACATCCGATATGGAAAGCGATGTTGTGTAGTTACAAGTATGATGTATGAAGTAAGTGGAAATCGTGTTAGGATAAAACGTCAACTCATTGTACGGACTCGGAACACCGGCCAGGTTAGATATAGCACATATCCGAGAGGATGGCAAGATAATTTACAGACGCCGCACTGCACTATTCCACCTCCTGACAGCCCGCAGGGTTCTTGTCACTTTCGTTCGTGCCTTGGGCACAACGGAATATTAATTCTAACTCTGATCCGTTGTCTGGATAGCCTCAAAGCCGTAGGTTAGTGTGCCCGGTTTTGCGCTTCCCGACCTTGTACTGTAGCGGGGTAATCTAGCTTCCGGAGTTCATCTATAGTGCGGATAACGTCCATCCGTTCATAACCCAGTAAAACCAAAGGAATTACCGATCACGACCTTATCCGTCTACCTTCCACTATGTTTTTTACTCCCCCTCAGTGGCTGGATTCATCGTCAAGATATGGTACCGACCCAGCTATGGCGGTTGATCCAAAACAGTAAGTAAGCCCGCCAATGTGTCCTAGAACTCTGTTACCCACCAAAAACATAGCTTCGACGGGTACACAAGATATCATTTATAAATTGATCCAATGAGCCCCGATCCTCTTGAAACCATCATCATAGAGCATATTGTTCTTTCGATTCACTAGAAAATTCCGTCTTGAACTGCACCATGAACTACACAACCGTCACTCTCCCTACACCAGGCTACCCCTCGGAGATCACCGGCTATGTTGAACCGTGGATCGCGTCTCCTGGGGACCAGATAGCTGTCAAGGTCTCATCAACCGAGAAAGATCTTCACTACAGCGTTGTGCGCCTGATATACGGTCCTCAAGGCCAAGACTTCGACGGTATGATCCAGGAGACAGTTCAGGACATCCCTGATGGCATCCTTGCTGGACGATATCAGGTGGCTAACCCAGGCTCGTATGCCGTCGTTGCCATGCGGGACTACGGAATCAGCCAAGATGGGGTAAATGTCACTGTTCATTTCCAGGCTCATCTTGTGGAAGAAGCCACCCATGTCCAGACCATCATATCGACGCTAGACGTTCCGTCGAGTCGCGGGTTCGCCGCTGTTCTAACAAAGCAAGGCTATGCTGAGCTCTGGATTGGAACCGGATCATGTATCCAAGCAGTACCCACGGGCTTCAAGCCGGCACTGAAAGAATGGGTAGCACTAAATTTCACCATACAATCTAACCAAGTAAACTTCGAGTTGACTCCCATTGCCTCTTTCTCCGAGAAAACCGGAACTGCCGTGGCAGGGAATACAGTCCTGCCAAGTGAAGCAAAGATCCAAGAAGATTGTGTGTTTACAATCGCGGCCAGTTATGCGGAGAAGGCCGACAAATCATGCGAAAAACCAGTTAACTTCTTCAACGGCCGGATAAGCGGCCCCGAGCTTCGATCAGCAACAACAACATCGGAGACATCTGTCCTCGCCAAGTGGAATTTTGCACTGCAAATGGATGGAGCTACCATTGTCGATGTTTCCGGAAACGGGGCTGATGGGCGTCTGGTCAATGCCCCGACCAGGGCAGTCGCTGGACACGACTGGGACGGGACAGAATCCGATTGGACCAAGACTGATCGTGGATACAACGCTATACATTTCCACGAAGATGACCTGGATGACGCAGCATGGGAAACAGACCTGAACATGGTATTGCCTCGGACATTGAGGTCCGGCGCCTACGCCGTCGTTGTTCGCGCAACAGGGCTTGCCTTGCGCGACTCGATTCCCTTCTTCGTGCGTCCCACCGAATCAACAGCTTCATCATTGGGAGCCAAGGTAGCATATGTTCTCTCTACCTTCACGGTAAGTTCTCAACTAGTCTCGTCGTAATAATGCCATGGCTAACTAAATTTGCCCACTACAGTATCTAGCATATGCTAACGAGCATGTATACGATAGAGAGCATCTGATGAGTGGTGCCGACTACAAGTGGAACGTGAGAAGGGATGATCATGCCGCTAAGACCGAGCGAAGGCTGGATCTTGGCCTTTCTTGTTACGACGTGCATAACGATCGATCGGGAGTCATACATTCATCTGCCAAAAGACCTATCCTCAATCTACGGCCCGACTATTTGAGCTGGAATTTCCATCGTCCCCGTGGCCTTAGTGCTGACCTTATTGGTTTGGAGTTCCTAGAGCGGAGCGGCATCCCATATGATGTGGTGACGGACCATGATTTGCACGTTAGAGGAAAGGAAGCCTTTCAGCCGTACCAAACTGTCGTCACATCATCTCATCCCGAGTATCATACTGTCGAATCCCTCTTCGCCTACATAGACTTCGTCAAGGCGGGCGGCAATCTCATGTACCTGGGTGGAAATGGGTTTTATTGGAGCTGTGCCACTGGGTCTGGAAACTTGCATCGTGTTGAGATTCGACGAGGCGACCAGGGATGCAGGTCCTTCACCTTGCCCGGGAGTGACCGTGTTTTCAGCATAAATGGTCAGCTCGGATTACTATGGCGGTCGCGTGGCCTAGCAGCTAACAAGATAGTCGGCGTTGGTTGTTGCGCCGTCGGGCAGGGTCCTGGAGTCCCTTACAAGCGAACAGAGGCAAGCCGAGACGAGAACTTGGCTTGGATGTTCAAAGGTATTGCTGAAGATGAACTGCTTGGGACGGAGGGTTTTGGTGGCGGTGCTAGTGGCGATGAAATTGACAAGTGCAACTTCTACCTTGGCAGTCCCCCCAACACTATTGTCGTAGCGACGACTGTGGGACATCCCGACGAGTTTGGCCTCTTCCCGGAGGATGCTGACTTTCCCATGACCAAAACCGTTGGTACGCAGACAAATGAGATAAGATCGGACATGACATACTACGAGGCAGGAGGTGGTGGTACTGTTTTCAGTGTCGGGAGCATCAATTGGTTATGTTCTCTTGGTTGGGATCACTTCCAGAATAATGTAGCCAAACTTGCGGACAACGTCTTGAGGGAATTTATACGCACACACAAATAGTTTAGTAGGAAGATCAATGGACGGATCAGGTATCTAAAGACTGACTATAATAGACTACAAAATCCCTTGTCCGGTATTAGATACTGTCTCGTGGCAGCGAATTTGACAGGCATTTGCATTTACAGGGTCTGGAAAGGCCATCCAAGCTACAGTGGTGCCTGTGTCCGTCCATCTCGGCATACAAGTAAACACAGACTGAGAGCTATTGCATTTGAAACTGGTGATGAGAGCCCGCATCTCACTGCTTTACTCCGATGGGCCAGGCCTATTCAGGTATCAAGTATCGCACATCGGATGTGGGTGGATAATTAGCCTTCCGTCAGGTAGGTCTCCGAGGTGTGTTCATGGGACGGACGATGATCCGATTTGCTCACATGGAGGGAAGATTCGGCCCACCCTAAAACAGGTCAAATAATTTACTTGCTGCATTGGGCATCTCCTCAACTTTCGCTTCCTCACTGTGATCAAGAACCATACAAATACAGGCATACCTAGGCAACGTTAACTCCCCAATCAGGAGGCAATCCCATCTCTCTTCTCCCTCATACTCTGCATTCCTATTCTCTGAACTATTCCACCCCATCACCATGCATCTTGCAGCCCATACTTGGATGCGTAATGAGCCTCTCGAAACCAGCCTTGCACGGCTTCAGAAGCTCGGATACCAAGGTGTGGAGCTACCAGGCGAGCCCGAGCAGTATCCGATTCAAGAGACGCGACGTTTGTTAGAGCAATATGGCATCAAATGTTGGGGCACTGTGACCATGCAGCGAGGCAGGAGGAATCTGATCGCTGCAGACAGTCAGCAGCGACTTGAGACTATCGAATATATGAAAGCTGTTGTGGAACTATCGGCTGGCCTTGGGGGACAGATTGTCACCGTTGTGCCTGGACATTGCGAAACTACCTCCTCTCAATCGAAGCCGGAAGACGAGTGGAAATGGGCTGTTGAGGGCCTACGTGAGGTTGCATCGTTTGCTAAGGCACGAGGCGTGAGAGTCGGGTTAGAGGCACTTAATCGGTTTGAAACATTCTTCCTCAACCGGGTTGAGCAATCTCTTGCCCTAGCTGACGAGGTTGGGTATGATGTTGGCATCATATTTGATTCATTCCACATGGCAATCGAGGAGCCAGATCTCCTCACGGCAATACGCGCCTGTCACTCTCGTATAGTTGACTTTCATGTCGCTGATAACAATCGATTAGCCGCCGGCGATGGGTCCTTCCACTGGAAGAGTATCATGCAGGCTTTGGTAGAAGCTGGGTACGATGGGGGTCTGACCGTGGAATGTTTCCCTCCGGTTGACCGAACGCCAGTTGGAGACTTTGGTTCGAGGCAGCTCGGAAACGAAGATGATCCTAACTCGGGCTTGCTTTCAGACAGCTACTATACCGAGTTGCTGAGACGCTCGGCAAAGGCATTAGCACCATACGTACGAACCAACTAGAATGAACATTCTACAGTCTTCAACTCTATCACCACTCGCTCCATCATACAGTAGACTTCAGTAGCCTTCATGACTGATAAATAGGAGAATATTCGGGATAACCCATAGGAGGAATACATGCCCGCAAGGATCCCTTTTTGGTCGGTAACAGCTTTAGACACGGTGCACAACCGCCGCCACTTGCCATGACGTATTTATGTGTCCATATTTATGTGCATACAGTAACTAGCCCCGTTCCCCGCCTCCTCCACTGGCAAAGATAGGCCTTGTTGATGCCGCCTATCTGTCCAAGTGCCCAGGCTACTAAATTCCGTTATCTGCTAGAGTCTTGGCACTAGGTCGTTATCCTGACTCGGATACCCCCGCTTGGTGCGCTGCTGTCGTGATTAACACATATCAATCGCCGGCTAATTCCATAAGCGACTATGAGACGCTAAAACGCCATGCCTATCATATCCTGGATCCTGTGCGCGAGCTGAGGTCCCTACGGTGGCATGTTATGCTTAGTGTCCGTTTCTACACACCGAGTCAGTCAGCTTCTGTGTCATTATTGAGTTGCCGCAAGCGCTCGACTGGCCCTAGCTACGCTTCATAGATATGAAAATATGGTTACACGATTCAAGTTTGTTCCTCAAACAGCCAAATTGGCTGATGGACGCCGTCGCAAACGCTTCCGAACCGCCTGCAATCATTGCAGGGCCAGAAAAGTAAGTTTGGAGGTACTGTACTGCGCCCTGAGCGTGCGTATTTTCCTCCTGCGGAACGGACTTGGGCAGTGTAAAGGGCCCCACTTAGTATGGATACACCATCTACTGGGACTGTATACACCTGCACGGCTGTAGAAAGCCGCTTATAAGCGGTCACCGTAAAGCTGACTTGGAGTGTCTGGAAGGTGACCGCTTTAGGACTAGCGCTTATGCTTGGGTCTACTTTTGAGATATATCTCTTCTACGGCTAAAAGTGGGCTTATGTGCCAATTTTATAGCCTAAAGCTGATATATTATCTAAGAGGTAGATGCTTGTACCTAAAAGCCCCTACCATACGTGTAAGAAAGAGAATGTTGTCGCGAAGAGGAAGATGTCTATGCACTACACTATAAGATCGTGATTTAACAAGTCTTTTTTAAAGTATTATAGTATAACTATAATACTATTAGTAATTACAGATAGAAAGTATTTAGGTTAGATAACTTACTATATAATAGATAATTAAAGCATAGTATCCTTTTAGGTAGGTTATAGGAAGAAGGTTAAGGCTAGCTAAGAAGTAGGGCTTTTTAGCTAGTATATATATAGCTAGGTTTAGGCTATAATTAAGGTAGCTAATTATAATAATTTAACTTAATAAAGCTTTGCTAGTTATAAGGATAATAAATATTTAAATTATATTAAATTTTAAAGATACTTAGATATAGCTTTTAAGGCTAATTTATAAACTTAAAAAAAAGTTTTTAACTTATATTAATAATAAAAATTATAATTAATTTACCTTTTGTATTAATTAATTAAATTATAATATTTTATTCTTAGTTTTTAAGATATATTAATTAATTTTAATCTTTCTTATCTTTTTAAACCTATAATAACTATTCTAGCTATAATAATACCTATTATAAATCTAATCTTATTAAAGTTCTATATATTATTTAATTAAATATTATACTTTATAATTATATTATATATAAGCCTAAACTAGCTATAGATAATAGTTAGATCTTTATATTTAGCATATTAATAGTTATATTTCCGAAATAAATACATCTTAAGCTCTGGTTATCATTTAATGAAGTTATAAGCCTAGCGCTTGCCGAAAGGTGACGCGTCGGGTCACCTAGCAGGGAATTGGCCATTTCTTCAACAAAACGCAGTCGCGAGGGAAATCAAGGGGAGCAAGGCCACGATCTCCTTGCCTATATTGCTGAAACTGAGCGATAGTTTGTCACAATCAGATTGCTCACAAATGTTCAGCCCTCCTCTCACCTTGGCAGTTGGGGGCAAGAATTGAAGGGACACGGCCAATACCTGAAAGAACAGAGCCGGGAAATAGATGAGATCGATGGGGACTCGTTGGCTAGACTTAGTGTAAGCTGGTGCTACTGTCGCGTGGAGCCACAAGGAATAGAGCTTTTCGAAGTAATATTGCTCTAGAGCGTAAAATTTCCAATTGGCCTCATCAAAATAATTTCTGATCAGTTGCTGGCAAATGTGGTGCGTAGGAAGCTGTTCAATCAACCTTTCATAGGCAGGATCGCTTCGCACGGTGGTAAGATCTCTGTTATCGAGCTCAACAAGCACTTCACGGCCGGAGCCATCCATGGCTTCGACTCATACATTAGCATCAGGTCTTTCTATTGTGGGAGGTTGAGCGCTACCTGACGCAGATTGACAAAGGCATTCACATTCTCCTGTCCCGAATACCCAACTCGCTCTGGGAAAATCGTTGGCGCAGCGTTTAGCAGCAGATCAAGTTGAGGAGCAGGGGCCGTTACTTGTGGAGCAGAATCGTGGAAATCTCGAAGAATCGGGCTGCGTCGGCTGTTATCCAGAGCAGTAATCAATCAGTACATGTTTGCGGACACGGCAAATCAAACGACCACTCAAGCAAGGGCGGTCAAGTCAGTTTCTAGGGTGACTTACTGGGCTTTGTTTTATTATAGGAGCACCTTTCTGGGACACCGCGATTGAGACAAAAGTTGCATGGCAATGCGCGGTCACATTTCTGTTTCCTACAATGGCATTCCGAGCACGCTGTCACAACGCGCTTTCGCCGGAGGCCAAAATCGTGCCTCCATTGCTCAAACGCACAGTAACGTATGAAGCGCGCGTCAATTTCTCATAGCCCGCCCTGTATCTGTAGTTAACAACTGCGATATCATCAGGACTCCGCCCTGCGCAGGTCTAGAGTCTAATCGGCCCGAGTATATCAAGAATCTCCACTTCCATCGGCCGAAGGACGTCATAAACAACTGCAAAGTCCGACGGGCTAACCGTTTTTCACACCCCCGAGCCCCTACATTTTTACGTTTCACGTTTTACGTATGGATAGTACAAAGCTAAACCCGCAGTCCACCGGTTAACCAAATGCCGAGAGACCATCACATTTGCCTGCCATCAAAAGTCAGCACCGCCTTGGTTTCGAGATTTTCGACCATGAGCCCATGACTCAAGCGAATCTACCTAGTTGGTGGCCCAGCCTGTCATAACTTGTTGCATGCTGTCAAATGGGTTTAGCATCATGCTCTTAGACGTATTTTCCGGGAACATCATGCCCCACCACGATTACGCAGGGACCATAAACCCAACAGCTGCCATCCCACCTGCTACAAATGCGGGTATCATGTACATAAAGCTAGCGAAATTCGGTTTTCAAGACGAAAAGCCCGGTTCAATTCCTTTGATTCTTCCTTAGGGAGACCTATTTTCTCTTCTGTCTAGCCATTCAGCTCATCGCTTAGCTCAAATGCTACTTAATCGGAAGAACATCCTGCTTCAATTACCAATAAATGGCGTTCTGCTATTTGGAGCTCTACTAAGAATAAATTATTTATATCCTTCTTTCTAGCCGGCCTTAGCTTTCCTTAATGGCTTTTTTAATACCTCTACAGATAAATAGCAAAACCCTCTAAGTACAAGACTAAGCTCTGCTTCTTTGTTATTAACTAGCTTAAGAAAGCCCTAATAAATCAGCCAGCTGACTTGTTAGGCTATATAACCTGACCAGGCTGACAGACTCATAGTCTTCGTACCTATAACCCATCATATGCCAGTATGTTGTCTTGGTGCACTTTCCAAGGTCCTGTAAACCTTATTGCCTGGGTGTAGATTATAATGAGGAGGCATAAATCTCGCCTAGGGCCTAGATTGTAAGCCTACTCAAGAGCTAGGAACTATATGACCTGCCTAGCCTGCTTTAAACCTTTTTTAAAATATGTATACCTCCACCGTCAACGCATATGAGCGTCAGTGGCAGGATGGCGGTGAATAGGAATTAAGGTTTAAGGTATGCACAGAGGGAGGCCTAAGCGGCTGAGAGAGTGGGGGTTACTTCAAGGTTGACCACATATGCAGGAACGTTAATGTAATCCCTAAGTTTAAGTGGCGCTAAGTTAGCGTGCATGTGACAGCCCAAGTTCAATGCGTGGAATGTCCTTCCTATGTATTTGTTGTCGAGACTTATTTTCACAGCACTTACTTCGGAACGGGGCTTATTGATCTCCGTTTTTAAACGGTGTTTAGCTATGACAAGCCACTGAGGGCGCTGGCGAAACCGACCTGACCTTTGAACTATGTCCGTTCTAAGAAACAGAACGGTTGTGGATCTCCGTTTCCGGTTGTTAAGGCTGGAACTTAGAGGCCGTTTGAAGAACTTAGAAGCCGTTCGAAGTGTGAACCCTTCATTTTCGCCATGTGATCCTCACTCGATTAGTCGGGGCCGAGCTACCACCTGCAGAAGTTCTTGCCATTCAGCCCAATAGTATACCAAAATATTAGGACTGCTGGATAGTGAGCTTATGATAATAGAGAATGAGGAAAAGTATAAGAAGGTTGTTATAGACCTCTTTGTCCCTCTGTTACCAACAACACATTTTACAATAAAGATCTATTCCTTATCTTAAAGAACTTTTACTTTTATTATACTCTAAGCAACCATCATAACTATGAAGTTTACCACAGCTCTTTTCGGTCTTACTGGACTTGTTGGTTTAGCCCTTAGCCAGGCGATCATTAAGAACAGTGGAGTCGACTCTGCAGCTGTTATTCCGGACAGCTACATCATCATGTACAAGCCCAATATGAAGTCTGGCAGCAAACAGAAGCACGAACAGACCATCACTTCCAAGGCCAAGAGTAAGGGCAAAGAGGGTGTTATTGAGAATATCAACCTTGGTGGTTTCCAAGGCTACATTGCTGAGATTCCAGCCTCAGAGCTTAAAGATGTTATTAACTCTGATCTAGTAAGCGCTTCTAACCTTGAGTTCTACTGAGATAGATACTAACTCTAGTGAATAGGTCGCTTATATTGAGAAGGATACTGTGGTTAACATCACTGCCGCTGCTGCCTTTCCCTTTGGCCCCCTAACCAAGCGCGCATACACCAACCAGCAACGAGCCCCTTGGGGTCTCGCTCGCATCTCACATGCACCTAATCCCCCCGGCTTCGACTCAAGCTACTACTATGACACCACTGCCGGCGCCGGCACGAATGTATATATAATCGACACAGGCATTCGAATCACCCACAAGGAGTTCTCAGATGGCCGCGCCACCTGGGGCGCCAACTTTGTCAGCGGCTCTCCCAATACGGACGAATATGGCCATGGCACTCACGTTGCCGGCACTATAGGCGGCAAAACCTACGGCGTGGCCAAGGCCTGTCAAATGCTTGCAGTTAAGGTGCTCGATAAGACCGGCTCTGGCACTATGGCTGGTGTAATCCAAGGCCTGCAGTGGACTGTCAAAAACGCCAAGGCCCGAGGTGTCGCCAAAAAGGCTGTCATTAATATGTCCCTCGGGGGCTACTATACTGCCGCCGTCAATGATGCCGTTAAGGCCGCTACTGATGCTGGTCTCACCGTTGTTGTCGCTGCTGGCAATTCAAATGACGATGCCTCATACTACTCACCCGCTTCTGCTCCATCCGCTATTACTGTCGGTGCTGTTGAAGGTTCTAACTACCGCACTGCATGGTCTAATTATGGCTCCTTAGTTGATATCTTTGCCCCTGGTAGTGGTGTTCTCAGTTCGTGGCACCTTAGCGACTCCGGCAGCAGGTACCTTTCTGGCACGAGCATGGCCGCGCCCCATGTTGCTGGTCTTGCTGCATATTTTATCTCGAAGGAGGGTATCCGAGGTTCTGCTGCTGTCACTCAACGTATCCTCAGCGCTGCTATTCCCAATGTTGTGTCTGACCCCAATGGCAGTAATAACCGCCTTGCCTATAATGCGGGTGGTGCATAGTCTATAGGCAACATACTCAAGAATAGGGTTCCATATAGCAGCGTCAAGCGAGGGCTGCGGCGAGATAATAGTTCAATAAAGCTGTTTGGCAACACAATAGTTGTGCAAGTGCGAACGAGAACTTCAATAACGTGCTTTGTATGGAAGTATCCCTGGCAAGAACGATCCAGAGATTATAGATTCATGTTGACCCTACTAAAGCGTACTGGCCGTCTTCGACCTGATCTTTTCATGCACCAATTGGCTTTGCCATTCGTGCCGACAGCAGGAAGACCACGTCGAGTTCAAATGATGGGTCAATGTTTCCGCACTGCTTCTCAATACCAAGCAGCACCTTCAAGATCGGAGGGCCGAAGAAATGGAGCAATATACAGCCGCGCAAGATTAGTTCGCCAGGCAGGATATCCCTATATAAATCGAAGCAGCTAAAAGAATAGTCAGGTTGCAGCTGGCATGGCCGACCACGGGAATCCAAATAAGCTTAAATGAGTCTGAGGTGATTAAAAAGTATCCGGAGTTTACTCCATTAGCCGAATTCACTCGAAAGATAATGGCTATCGCAGGTGGGGATTTACAAGCAATGCTAATTCCCAGCACGTCGCTGGCCTTGTCTACGCTGAGTTAGGCACCGCCTTCACCTCAATGGCCAATGCCATTCCTAATCTTTTTGCCAAGCTACCAGCAAGGCTCCTCCTAGAGATGCGGATGCAAGGATGGGCTTACGAGGACGACCATGTACCCTGGCCAGCACATGACAGCGAACAAGACCTGGACGTTGAGCAAGCCTACAAACTGGCCAAAAGTCAGCACTTGGTAACAGGCCTGGCGTCACCGTATTCCAAAAACAGATATCATAACAACTATAAGTACAAGTTTAAACATCAACGCTGCTGGTCTTGTCTATCTAGACTGTATACATTGTTATCGAACATCATTGCAGGCTTCTCGGCAATTATCTATATTAATATTCTGTTATGAAAAACAAAGTTTTATATAATATTACCCCCTCTACTTTATACTACCTATAGCCAGCTGCCCTACTCTTCTATTCCTAATTGTTGTGTACCCCCAATTGTCGCGTACCCCTGTTCACTTCTTAACTGCATGTCTATATCCGGTTTATTCCCCGGTCTCATAGGGAAATACTGACGGTCTACCTAGGGAAGGGCAGGTTAATAAGCAATTTAAGGCTTAGTTTGTGTTTACATTATAGGCAAGGGTAGTTCTGCTCTAGCTTAGAATTTATACTGCCTAATTGACTTTATAATTAAAATAATTCTATAATTAATTTAGATTAGACTTTATAGCTTATAGCTTTAGTATAATAAGTATAGTTATTATAATAAGTTAATAAGGTAGTAGTAGTATAAAAGTTATATAAATTTAATATATTATTTAATATAGCCTAATCCTAGCCTATATGCCCTTGCCATCTTTTCCTTATATATCTTTAGTTTTTTATAAAATAACTATTTTAATAAGTATTAAGATAGTATCCCCTTTTACCTTATTATATTACTAGGTCTGCTATATTAATTATAATATATACCCTAAAAGCAATTTTATTAATATAAACCTTACTTTATTATAACTATAATAATAAAAACTATTCTTAACTCTTAAAGTA